AGCCGCCCCACCCCATCTAGACATAACTAAAACTGTACTTTATTAAAAGGGCCCTATGTGGGGCCCCTATTTCAATTTAAATTTTCTATAGTTATAGTAGTACAATTTAGTTGTAAAATATTTCGCATTCCAGAAATTATTAGGGAGAAATGTAATTATTAACGTGTTTAATTGAGGAAATTAAATTTAATCTAGAATGTTCCAGAAGGATCTATATTTTTCTACTGGTATATATAATGAGATCTAAAAGCTTATTCGAACAAAATCGCACCGAGCATCATCACATCGGAAAAGGCGATTGCGACGAGATCAGGGTCAGAATGCGATTGGAGTTCTGATGGATCGGGGTCCCAACAAGATTGTGGTCCTTATGCAATTCCCGGGCCACTTCGGGTATATTGGCTAATATATAAATATATATATATATGTATGTGGTATGTGCTGAAGTGTATATTAGCCCTCTATATAGCCAACAGATTATAACTATTGAATGTGAAAAAAAACTTCTTAGAATCAATTTTTAGAATTTATTTTTTTTTAAATTGAAAAACTTTTTCGTGCTTATTACTTGTTATTTGCAATTCTAATTACTAAAGTTTAATTCTTCCAGTGTGTTATTGACGATCTTGTCTGCTTTGCGTTTGCTAAAATTTTCAAGCTGATTCTCACTTTGACTTGTGTTTCCAATTTGCTCATTGTAACAGACCAAGTTAATTTTGATTTTTCACACGATACTAATATGTATTATCTCGGCACAATGGTGTAGTGATTTGATGATAATGAAGTAAGACACGAGGAAAAGGGGGACTACTTTTTACAGCGTTGGGAGAATACGTGTTTTTTTTTAAAAGAAGAGCGGGAGTAAACAAGATATCTTGAATGTGAGAGGACATGTTGAGTTTTTCTAATGGATTGTTGAATTAATATTAGATAGAGTATTATTGAAGGATATATATATATATATATTCTTTGCATTGCAGCTATGATAGTTACAAAGATATCCTGATATTAAGGAATTATTTGACTTATTTGGTATATGTAATAAAGTGCTGTACATATTATTCATTTACACATGGTTGCTTCTTAAGAGAGATAAAGAAACCGTTTTTGAGGAGTGGAGTGAATTAGTAAATTAGTAGCGGCACGTGATCGCTTACATTGAACTCACAGTATTAGCTAACCTTGTATGAGTAACTTATTGAATCATACGCGCCACCATCCTCAAGAAGGTTCCCATATACCGTTGTTACACCCATATTTATTAATAAACAATCAAACTTCCTTTGGTTGTCACAACACAGAGTCTTTTCCCGGCAACACTAATTCCACGACTCAGGTGATACAATCCTTTGTTATAAACAATTCAATAGCCAATCTCTAAAACATGCGCTGTATCAATAACTCAGTCAGTTGAAGTAGCTGACAAACCTGTGCCAGAGATTCGTGCGCTTTTTCCCAATTATTCGCCATCCCCAAATCCTCTCTCCCTCGAAGCATTATAACGCAGCTGTGATATTTCAGGTTAGCTTGAGGCAGACGATCAACCGAGCGAAGGAGTCACGTGTGGCAATTAACAAAAAACAACTATGCTCAGACAAACCCCCAAGGATATGCGAGTCGAAAGAAGGTTTTTAACAAACGACTGAAAAGCCAAATTCCAAGAACCGGAGCATGGTGTAATTAGGTTGTGTAAAATATAGTTTGTTTTTAGCACTTTGAATTAAACACGAGAGAAAGCGTTAATTCTCTTCTGTTATTAGCTTCTGCGACTACATGTCAGTCGATACACTGAGAAGTTTACGGTTTGGTTAATGATTGAGATTCGTTCAAAATAATTTCCGTGTGAAAGGGTTTAATGTAAAATATCCTTGACAAAAGATTCATTCAAGAGCTACTATTGTGTACTATCTAAATATATATGCAAGAACGTAGCTGAAATGAACTAGATGTCTTTAAAGGCATTTTTTTTTTAGATCAAATTTTTAACATATTAACATTTGTAATTAAACTGGATAAACTTTAATGAAGTCCAACTCCGTTCTTTTACGCGACCAACTCTTTATCAATTTTGCCCAGGAATCTTGTAACACTAATATTGCATAACTTTTTAACGTAAAACTTTTTAGGGCCCTTTTTATGCAATCATCAAATATTAATTTTAGAAAGGAAGTAATTCAATATGAACACATTAAAGAAAAATATTTAACAGTCTATGAAATGAATTAGAAACTTCTAAAAACATCGCGACTTTTTATTGTTCTTTTTTTTGTGGTAAATGCTAATATTTTCAACGCAATTATTTACGACTCTTGGGCATTGGTGCATGGGCGCCCGCAGAAAACTTTCTAGGGGGGGGGGCAAAAAATTCGATTAACTTTCCAGGGGGGGGGGGAAAAATGGTTTTAGTAATTTTTTATTTTAGTTTTAATTTAAGAATTTGTTTTTGAAATTATCTTTTGGAAAAAATTAAAAAAAAAAAAAA